AAGTTACTACGGTCACTTAAGCCAATTATCTCCTGGATAGAGGGGAGGGTTCAGAAAGATGCACTTTGTTATGATTGGTTTATGTTCCTTATGTCCCTGTGTTCCATGAGGTCCAGAGGGGTGTGCCACTGGCCTGAAAATGTGTATTAAAGAAATGCAAGTTGTTCAATAAACCAGTCTTCTTACCCTCAACTCGCAGCCTTGATTCATGTTGTAGGGAAATGTTAATCACCAGCTTTCCTCAGTGCTACAAGAACCTTCTACACTTCCAGGGATATCTGCAGTTGCTGAAGTGGAACTCTTTACCACTCTCCCAGCTCAGGAACAAGGACATCCAGGCGGTCCAACCCTCAGCTAGCCTGGGGCAACCATAACAGCAGTGTATTTATTTGGGGGAAAGGGATGTGGGGCAGGGAATTAAATTGGGTAGAAATGGAGCAGAGTATTAGAGTGGTGGGAGGGGGCAGTGCATTAGAGTGCTGGGAGCAGGGGAAGTGTATTAAATTAAGGGGAATGGTGGGGAGGCAGTGTATTAAATTAGAGTGGAGGGAGGGGGACAGTGTAGTAGATTGAGGAGGAGGCAGTGTATTAGAGTGGGGGGGCAGTTTCACTTCACGTTACTTACTATGCCCCCCCATCTAATACACAATCTCCCCCTCTCCCCCCCAGGATTACATATTGTTTGCATGAGAGTGATACAAGTAATTTTAGTTTGTGTTGGTCTAGGTCAAACCCTTTTTTTTGCGGCCTACATAAATTTAAACCTTGTTTACTTGGCCCGTGTTAGCCTTTGAGTTTGACATGCTTGGTGTAGCAAGCCCTGCTGATTGGCAGGTTGCGGCACTCACCACAAACGCACCCAAGGTTTAGCAATGCCTCTCTTTGAGAAACATCTGATTAGACCTCAGACAAGGAAAGGGTGACACAGTGGTATGATGGAGAAGATGCCAAAAGGATCTTAAAACCTTGCCCTAATGGTATGTTTTGACCCTTTTTTAAACATTTTTGGATAAGAAAAGGGTGGAGGGGATAAGTGTGACGAAACCAATCTCGCCACATTGCATTGGAGGAGCCTGGTTGCCCGCCTGCTGCCTTTGGATTATGGACCGGCAGCTAAAGGGTTAATTTTACTGTGCAGAAGGATTTATTTCTCCCTTTCTGCACAGCCGTTCGGTAGATTCCATCTACCAAACAAACAGTCTCTTTTCAGCCTCCCCAGAGCCGTGGGAAGCCGGCCGGCGACCTTAATTGGCCACCCAGAAGCTGGAGTGCGCCCTCCATTTACCTCCCTGAAGCCGCGGTTAACCGCAGCTTAACGAGCGTGTGCCGGCAATTGACCACCCAGTAGCTGCGGTTAACCGCAGCTTAATTGATTGTTACTGGGTGGTCGCGGTTACACTTAGCCGCCACACGATGGCGGTGTTCTGGAGCTCCCCGGGCAGCCAGCGCTTGTCTGCCCGGCTTTCATGCACCAAACCCGGACACTTTTACGTGCAGGCACCGCTGAACCTCCAACCCCTGGTTCTAATTCGCACGGATTGAACGAATGCATGTAAATTCGGTATTTTATGTTGGAGGAATGTTTTAACCCAGATAGCTATGCCATGGAGCCTATTCGTGGAATTAAAGACTTTGGCTCCATGACAATTAAAACTGTATTCGTGTGGTCTGAGTGCCATTCACCTAATAATGTGCACTCAGACCTGAGCTATCTGGGGATATGTTACATGTCTGTGTTTTATGTAGTAAATGTTACTTTGTGCATTTTAAAGTATAATGCTGGTTTTGTGTTCCCATGTGTGTAATGGAGTTTTGCCTTTGACTTGGGAGATAATTGAGTTACTTCCCAATTATCTCCCAGGGCAGAGGGGAGGAAGCCAGGATGCATTGTGGGAATATACTGTGACTGTGTGTCCTTTTTGTATACTTGTCTGTCCCTTGTCACAGTCTCCCATTTGGTCCCCTAGGGGAGTGTCCACCAGGTGGGAGACCTGCATAAAAGCTGGGCAGGTAGCCCTCATTAAACAGACCACTGCTTGACCCTCAACACGGAGCCTTGTCTCGTCTTTGGGGGGATTTACTGTATGCTGCTAAGGACTGATTGCCAGGAGTGTAAGCCGCTTGGGAGCTTTTCCTGTTCGTCTGGTAGCAGCAATTCGTATGGTTCCTGTTCGTGTATTTGGAGTGCTACCTTATTCCCTTGTATGCCGTTCGGGAGTTTGGAGCATTCACTTGTATGCAGTTCGAGAGTTTGGAGCATTCACTTGTATGCAGTTCGAGTGTTTGGACCATTCCCTTGTATGCAGTTCGAGTGTTTGGAGCATTCCCTTGTATGCCGTTCGGGAGTTTGGAGCATTCACTTGTATTCAATTTGTGAGTTTTGGTGATTCTACAGTAGCTGTGCCTGTCTCTGAAAGGGGATTATCGTCTAAGCGGTTTTTTCCCCTTTTGTGCAAAACGGTCCGTTACAATTGGTGGCAGCGGTGGGATCGTTCCCACAGACTACAGGACAGCTACAGGCGACACCATTCCGTGGATTTTACAATTTGAGGGCAACGCATGTCCCAGTACAGCGACCCTGACAGCACCAGCATGGAACCAGCAGTGGAGTATGATGAGGGTGCCATGGATGACCGAGATGCAGTCCGTAAAGGCATCTGGTACCAGGCACTGGGTATTGCGGAGTACCAGCGGGGCGAGAGATTCCCCAAGGAAGACCAGCGGTTGCAGAAGCGAGTAGCCCTGCGGATGCCCTTCCTGGGAGAGCAGCCCCTGGAAGAATGGGTGAGGAAATTGGAACACCTAGTATGGCAGGAGATGTGGCTAGAAGATGCCTACCAGGCGCTCTGGTGGTATGGGGCACAATACCTGCCCTGGAAAGCCGAGCATGACAAGCCAGAGGGAGAGGAGTTTGATGGTCCTGGCTTGTTATGGGAGACTTTTGCAGAGCCTGAGTTTGGGAGCCCTACACAAGCCCGGTTCAGTGATCTCTTTGAGTGGAGGGAGAGCAGGTATGACTGGGACGACACTCACGAAATTGAGCAAGACCTGGTCCACCTGGTGACCCGAGAGATGGAGCTGGAACAGGGTTACCAAAATCTGTTCCACTCCAGTGAGAAGGCTCAGCAGGGAAGCGGAGACCCAGATCCAGACCCATTCAGCTGGGAAGATATTGTGGAGTGTTACTGGGAAGAACCCCAGGTGGCCGGTGGAGATGGGACCGAGGTCTCTCCACCGGTCCTGCAGGGAATTGGGAGCCCAGTCTCCATTCCCCAGCGGCCGTGTGATTTATTGGGAATTGGGAGCCCAGTCTCCATTCCCCAGCGGGAGATATTGCAGGGAATTGGGAGCCTGAGCTCCATTCCCCAGCGGCAGGCGGAGTTACAGGGGACAGAGATAGTCGCTCCTGTCCCCCAACAGCAGAATGAATTGCAGGGAATTGGGAGCCCGAGCTCCATTCCCCAGCGGGAGAAATTGCAGGGAATTGGGAGCCCGAGCTCCATTCCCCAGCGGGAGATATTGCAGGGAATTGGGAGCCTGAGCTCCATTCCCCAGCGGCAGGCTGAGTTACAGGGGGCAGAGGTAGCTGTTCCTGCCCCCCAGCAGCAGAGTGATATGCCGGGAAGGCAGTGTAAAGTGCAGGGAGAGGAGAACAGCGTCCTCCCTCCCCAGCGGCAGGCTGAGATACAGGGGGCAGAGGTAGTTGTTCCTGCCCCCCAGCAGCCAAGTGATATGCCGGGAAGGCAGTGGGAAGTCCAGGGAGAGGAGAGCAGTGTCCCCCCTCCCCAGCGGCAGCGTGATTTTTTGGGAATTGGGAGCCCAGTCTCCATTCCCCAGCGGCAGAATGATGCTTTGGGAATTGGGAGCCCAGTCTCCATTCCCCAGCGGCAGCACAGATCATTGGGAATTGGGAGCCCCGTCTCCATTCCCCAGCGGCAGAGTGTCCTACCGGGAATAGAGAGCCCAGTCTCCTTCCCCCAGCAGCAGGACTCTGTATTGGGAGCAGAGACAGTCGGTCTCCCTCCCCCACAGCTGGAAGTATGTATGGGAGAGGAGCTTGTTACCCCCTCTCCCCAGCGGCAGCCTAATGTACAAAGGGGAGACAGTAAGCCCCACAACCGTGCAGATGGGACCGTAGTCTCTACACTGCCAGCACAGGGGGTAGGGACGGTCGGTCCTGCCCCCCAGCGACAGGGCTGTTTAGCCAAAGAGGAGACAATCGGTCTCCCCCTCCAGCAGCAGAGATGGGTAACCAAAGGGGAGACGGTCGGTCTCCAGCAGCAGGACTGTGCAGCTAAAGGGGAGACGGTCGGTCTCCAGCAGCAGGACTGTGCATCTAAAGGGGAGACAGTCAGTCTCCAGCAGCAGCAGCAGCAGAGCGGTGTATTTAAAGGGGAGACAGTCGGTCTCCCCCTCCAACAACCAGGCTTCCACCAGGCTACCCTCCCAGTAGCGCTGGCAACAGGGCAGAGTGCCGCTGGTCTCTGCCCACGCAGCAACCCACCCAGTCAGCGTACCCGTACCCAGCACAGCCGTGGTGAGGCACCTGGACATGGACAAGCTTCTCCTTTACCCAGGTGTAGTAAACATTTATTGTGGGTGGGCTGTGCTGTTGATTATGTTTTGTGGGTGGGCTGCTGGACTAACAAGGGCACTGACCGGCAGGAGGTTAGATACCCTGTTAGTCTGTTTGGAAAAGGGGAGAGATGTGACGAGACCAATCTCGCCACATTGCATTGGAGAAGCCTGGTTGCCCGCCTGCTGCCTTTGGATTATGGACCGGCAGCTAAAGGGTTAATTTTACTGTGCAGAAGGATTTATTTCTCCCTTTCTGCACAGCCGTTCGGTAGATTCCATCTACCAAACAAACACTCTCTTTTCAGCCTCCCCAGAGCCGTGGGAAGCCGGCCGGCGACCATAATTGGCCACCCAGAAGCTGGAGTGCGCCCTACATTTACCTCCCTGAAGCCGCGGTTAACCGCAGCTTAACGAGCGTGTGCCGGCAATTGACCACCCAGTAGCTGCGGTTAGCCGCAGCTTAATTGATTGTTACTGGGTGGTCGCGGTTACACTTAGCCGCCACACGATGGCGGTGTTCTGGAGCTCCCCGGGCAGCCAGCGCTTTTCTGCCCGGCTTTCCTGCACCAAACCCGGACACTTTTACGTGCAGGCACCGCTGAACCTCCAACCCCTGGTTCTAATTCGTACGGATTTAACGAATGCATGTAAATTTGGTATTTTATGTTGGAGGTATGTTTTAACCCAGATAGCCATGCCATGGAGCCTGTTCGTGGAATTAAAGACTTTGGCTCCATGGCAATTAAACTGTATTCGTGTGATCTGAGTGCCATTCACCTAATAATGTGCACTCAGACCTGAGCTATCTGGGGATATGTTACATGTCTGTGTTTTATGTAGTAAATGTACTTATGTATTTTAAAGTATAATGCTGGTTTTGTGTCCCCACGTGTGTAATGGAGTTTTGCCTTTGACTTGGGAGATAATTGAGTTACTTCCCAATTATCTCCCAGGGCAGAGGGGAGGAAGCCAGGATGCATTGTGGGAATATACTGTGACTGTGTGTCCTTTTTGTATACTTGTCTGTCCCTTGTCACAGTCTCCCATTTGGTCCCCTAGGGGAGTGTCCACCAGGTGGGAGACCTGCATAAAACTGGGCAGGTAGCCCTCATTAAACAGACCACTGCTTGACCCTCAACACGGAGCTTGTCTCGTTTTGGGGGGATTTACTGTATGCTGCTAAGGACTGATTGCCAGGAGTGTAAGCCGCTTGGGAGCTTTTCCTGTTCGCCTGGTAGCAGCAATTCGTATGGTTCCTGTTCGTGTATTTGGAGTGCTACCTTATTCCCTTGTATGCCGTTCGGGAGTTTGGAGCATTCACTTGTATGCAGTTCGAGAGTTTGGAGCATTCACTTGTATGCAGTTCGAGTGTTTGGACCATTCCCTTGTATGCAGTTCGAGTGTTTGGAGCATTCCCTTGTATGCCGTTCGGGAGTTTGGAGCATTCACTTGTATTCAATTCGTGAGTTTTGGTGATTCTACAGTAGCTGTGCTTGTCTCTGAAAGGGGATTATCGTCTAAGCGTTTTTTTCCCCTCTTGTGCAAAACGGTCCGTTACAATAAGTGACAGGTGCCCAGTAATACTTTTCAAAATAAAATCACAAAAGTTGGAAAAAAAGGGGTTGGAATAACCTTTTAAGGCTTAATTAGTTTGTAGGGGTTCATATGAATACACTTTTTGTCTCAAAGATTTTGCCATTGAGCTAAAAGCAAGAATTGAATTAAAAAAAGAAGAATATAACATGTGCCTTGGTATTAATGGTATACTTATTACTACAAGGTACCTGTCAAAATGTGTATGTTTGTTCACAATTTAGTAGGTGCATGGAGGGGGAATACTATGCCTGTAAATGGTTAAGGAGATGTGAAAAAAATTAAATATTTATGTTTTCCACGTGTCTTTGGAATGTTGTGTGTGTACTTTTACATCTATTTGCCACTCAGATATTTTGAGAGTCTCTTGACTTTTGCCAACAGAGTGATGAATTCAGCTTGAGGCAGACATACTTTGCAGGAGTACTTAAAAAAAATAAAAAATAAAGAATTACTGGTATTTTACACTTGTTTATAGTGAAGAAAACCTTTAACCCATTAACTGAGTATGCAGTGTATTTAACTTTTTAATCGAATCTCTAGAAGGGATAAAGTCTTTAAAATAATATGAATATTGTTATTATTAATAATTTTTATTTAAGAGTTACTTATTTTCAAAGTAAACAAAATAGGAATATTTAGTTATTTTGAAAGATTCTGGAAGCTATATTCTATATATTCTATATTTTGCTATATTCTCTAGAAAAAGTCCTGAAAAAGTTCATATCTAAACTTGCCGTATCTACACGAGAGATTTGATAATTAAATGCACACTAATTAGAAATATATACGTTTTGTTTATTTAGATGCCTTTTTAATGTACCTTTTGTTCTTACATTCTGTTCTTAAACCCCACATGGTTTAAATAAAAACAAACAAATTTAAAATTTTATTTCAAAACTAAGTCAGTCTTCTAATAGGGGAACTTTGAAGACTTCTTTCACATGCACGGCTAGTTCATACTCCAAAAAATGAACTAAATATATAAAAAATACTCCAAAAACACTAACTCATTTTGATAGACTGGGCTTTCTCTTTGAGAAAAAACAGTCAGGCAAAACACATCAGTATTTCTTTTTGCTATATAGTGGTTTTATTATTTTTGTCTTAGATAAAAAAAAAAAAAAGAAATTACTACACTTGTACCTTCCTGATTTTATCCAGAGAAGTCACACTTTTATTTCCTTGATGGGGAGGTACCACCTACACTGTGTTTGATTGAGCAAAACCTAGTTTTGCTCTCCTTATGTGAGGAGGTATCCTCTTATTTCAGCAATACAGAGAGCACTATATTCTGTTTTATTTTCATCCTATATACTGGTGAATTTCTGTTGCCACAATGCTGCACATTGAAGGAGAAGACTCCTAAATGCTTGGCATTGAGAGTGACTGATTGGCCTGGACCATCTTCCTGTAAGGGACCAGGACCATCAACACATCAACAGAGAGGGATTATAACACCCAATAGCATACATCTGGAGCTAGTCATAAACTCCAGAAAATGGTACTAATCTATGTGTTACTCTGTTTAATTCATCAGTTTCCAAAGAAACTACACTATATTCCATATTTGTCCTCTTTTCTTTCATACTATGTCAACACTACACAGATTTGAGGATACTCTGAAGGTGCTGCTTCCCTGCATCCCTTTTCATACAGTACCTTTTCATGACTAGAAAGGATAGACTCTGGTTTGGGATGTTCAAGCACCACCTTCATACCAGAGAAGCACCAGACATCCCATTGTTTTATCTACTCATGCTGTGAATCTTGAGGACAGTTCCCCGGTGTCCCCAAAAGCGGGACAACATCAGAATAAGTATGACAGAATCCGAAAATCGGGACTGTCCTGATGATTTCAGGAAGGTGACCAGATATAAACCACCTGGACTGTGAATCTGTGCACGGGGGCTGTGCAGGATAAAGTTCCAAGTTGCAGTACAGGCAAGGACACAAACAGCAGGATAGTCAAGGGATAGCCAAAGTCAAAGGATGCCAGAGGTCAGGATCAATGAAGAGTAGCCAAAGTCAAGGGATGCCAGAGGACAGAGAAAACGATGTCAGAAGCCAGGGTCAATATAGAGTTGAGGATCAATAGACTGGAACACAGGAACGTAGCACACACAACAGGATCAAAGACTTGATAAAGTTCATAGGGCGAGGCTGTGTTATATTCCCTGCTGATGTCTGATCAGGGTCAGGTGAACCACAGCAATTGTCAAAGTCCAGCCCCCAGTGCTGCAGAAAAGCCAGGACCAACAGGACTGGAATAGCTTGAAAATAAACAAAACTGCTGTGGCTCAAAGGTAGAATGCAGGACCACAAAGTTCCCAGGTTCAAATCCCCTGTTGGGCACTTCTGGGGCGACCACATCTGGCCGTCTGGATGTTACGGTGAGAACCCTGACATAACCCCAGCAATTGTGTTTCAGGCTCTCTGGTGAGGTAGGGGAAGTGGGTAGTGGCTCCCGTTGGATCCCATGTAAGTAACCAGTGTATATTGTTACTACAAATGTTACGTTAAGTAAAAGATAACACAATGCCTAAAACTGGGCACTGAGTCTTTAAATCTGAAAAAAATTTCCTCACAGTGAAATATTAATCTGTGATGGTTTATATAACAGTCAGCTAGTACAATATATTACTAAACACTCAATTAAGGGAGAAAAAAAATCATGTTGTTGTGGTCTTCTATCCTTTTTACACCTGACCACCAACAGTAAACTCTTCTTGGTCTCCTCACTTCCTCATGCTGTTCTTTGGTGTTTATTCACTAGTAAATTGTGGTGAATTGATAAAAAGAATAACTAATGTCACACAAAACAACAGGAGTTGCAGGAGTTTTCAAGCTCTTGGGTCTAAATTTTGCCAGTTCACCAAAAATAATTATTTTTATATCTTGAAATGGTAAATTTACCATTACAGTGTTTTCTATTCAGAAATAATTTGAACAATACTCATTTAACTTTTAACTATGGGGATGATTACATGTGAGCACCAAATAAAAGTTTTAGCAAAATAAAGATGCTATTTTGATTTAAGAATTATTACATGTTTTAGCAGTAACACAGTAAGTGATCTTTTGAGCTGTATATGCTACCATTTAACTGGCAGATACATCTGGAAAACATTCGTAAGTAATGTACAGATTGCCTTCAGTAAAAGAAATCAGCCAAGAAACCTCCATGATATGTATGAATATTGCATTTTACCATGGCAAATCTCAATGTCTTATATTGCAACTTTCTTCCTTACATTATTATTATTATTTTCATAGCACCAACAAATTCCACAGCGCTGTACAATGGGTGGACTAACAAACAAGTAATTCTAGCCAGATGAGTTGAACACACAGGAACAGAGGGTTTGAGGGCCCTGTAAGTACTGGTTGAGGGGTTGAGGGCCAGGTAAGCACTGGTGAGCCAGTTAAATGGAAACTCCCACGTCTCTGAAATGTACACCACTGAATAAAATACTGAAAATCATAATTTATGTTGACCTTTTTTCATCTGATGGTCCACTTTATTTTACATTAATATTAAAGAATAAAATCACATCATAATACAGTTCAGACAAGGCAAAACCAAGGCAAGCATTGCAAATAAAGAGAAGAAATAGAAGCATTATTTAATTTCCTCTTATAAAGCTAAGATGGCTGCACTCAGCTGCAGAATAAAGAGATGTGGATTCACGCATTTAGTTTTATTTTTTACACCTCGGAAATACATATTTGTTAAATACAGAGAGACAAAAATATATTAATAATTTATGGGAAATTACAGTTTCCCTTTAAGTGAGCTTTGTTAAAGGAACCTACAGTCATATAAAAAAACAATAGTTATTTTGAGGTTATACATTTCTTCCTTCCTTCCTGTCACTTTCACTTTGCTTTTAAAAAAGTAACTGAAATAAAGCATTCTCGCCTTGTTTCCAGTGTGAGGACTCTTCTCCTGCTGCCGCCAGCCCCGCCTTTGGTGATGTCATCATGCAGTCAAATGCCATGTTCCTCAAAAAAAATGCTGATATTGCAGCATTTGATTTCCAGACTGAGTTTACTAGATTCTGAGGAAGATGCATTTCTAATGGCTTCAGGAAGATGGTCGATAGTGATAGGTTTAACCATGAAATCTAAACATTGCAGTTACTGCATTGAGACGAAGTGGTCT